AAGTTATCCAAATGAAGTTCTTAGCAATGCATATTACTAATCAAAAATGAAGTTTTGATATATTTACAGTAGGAAATTTACAAAATATCTTCATGGAACATGATCTTTACTTAATATCCTAATGATTTTTGGCATAAAATAAATAATTTTGACCCATACAATGTTTTTTTGGCTATTGCTACAAATATACCCCAGCGACTTAAGACTTGGTTTATATATATATATATATATATATACACACACACACAATGTGCTTATAAACATTAAATTGCAGCATTGGTTATGGTCTATGGTTTTTGCATGTTTCATTTATTATTTTGTACCCATGGAAAGAACCAAAATATTTAAAGTTGTTTTTTTAATCTTTTCTTTCCAATTTACTTTTCTTTTTTCAAATGTTTTATTTTCCCCAATTAAAAAAAGAAAAGAAATAAAAGTTATTTACTTGCTGTTTATCATCCTGTAGAAGGGGGTTCAGATGATGTCACTTCTTGGGTAACATTTTATTTAATTTTTATTGTAACAGAAGATCTTATAGACAGAGAAGATCAGGATTTTGGATGAAAATGTGGGACATCATTTATTTATTTTTTTGCTTTTTTTCCCTTCGTTTTTTACAAATTGCACATTTTTATAAAATAGGCTATATAATAAAATGAATGTCAGGTATGTCAAGATGTTGTGCAATTTTAATTGCTGGATCAGACCTCAGAGCTGGGACTGGCCAAAGGCACTTTTTAAGGTAATGGGACACCAAAGTCTGCCACTATTCAAGTTAAGTGCCATTTCCTGACACTGTATTCACCCAGGATGCTGATTGCTTTTAATCCCTCCCAGACAACAGCCTCCTGGAAGGCATCCCATAATAGACACCCATTCCTGATTGAAAATCGGTTGCTGTAAAGCACTGGCTCCATTATGACACGTACAACAACGCCACAGACTGTCTTTATTTGTCATTGATGCTGACGGAGTTTGGCAAGGCCGGCGTTTGACACGTCTCGAGCTGCCTGACCAGTCTGCCAAGTGCCACTACTGTGGGCATTTGGCAGGACAAGTGACTGGCAAAATCCTCCAAGCATGGAGAAGGTGGGTCGGACATTTCGCTGGATCTCCACAGCACATTTTATTACAACATATTAGCATTTATTGAACATCATTGTCTATTATCATATTGCTGCTGCCGTTTTTTTAATTTTACGTTTGGTTAAAGAGGTTTTATGCACTTGTGTTGCAGTACATTACTGTACATTAAGTTTGGGATTGGTACGTTTTTGAAAAAACGTCTCTGATGCTCACTGAGGCTGCATTTATTTGATGAAAAATACAATTAAAAACAGCAATATTGTGAAATATTCAAATTTAAAATAACCATTTTCTATGTGAATATCTTCAAATGTAATTTATTCCTGTGACGAAAAAGCTGAATTTTCAGCACCGTCGTCTTCAGTGTCACATGATCCTTCAGAAATCATTCTAATATGTTCATTTGCTACATTGATGCATTTTTCAGGATTCAGGATTTTCAGGATTCGATGAATAGAAAGTTTAAAATAACAGCATTTATTTGAAATCTTTTGTAACGTTATAAATGTCTTTGCTTTCATTCATTTATTGTGGGCCGGCTGAATACGATTATTTATTTCTTTAACTCTTTGACTTGAGATGACCTTGAGTAAATTCTTTTTTTATTATCCCTTTAGAATCTTGAATATAAATGAGCATAACACACAAACAAAAAGATCAACGCTTCCAGAAAAAGAACACTGTTATATATATTTTTATGTAAAAATACACAGTATAATACAATAGTACCCATTGGGAATAATATATTCATTTTTGTTTTCACAGTTAAATGTCACGCATCCCCTCAATTACTCCAGCCAATTTATAAAGAAAAAAATGAAACGCATGTGAATCACATTTTGGCCTCAATGAAATCAAATTCTAGAGAAGAAGAAAAAAATCACTTTCAAATTTTTTTTTTTTTCATGTTTCTCCCCTTCATTATATTCCACATTTACACTGCGTTCCTTACGCAGCATTTCTACAGGTTTGACCATGTACAGTAAATACTCACTAAATGACACTTGATACCAAGCGTTAATGACTTTAGATATACAGATTTACAGTATAACTACAAACATGATCTGTTCTGAAGCAATGATGTTCAACTTCTAGGCGTAAGAAAATAATTTTTATACTTATAAATAAGGAGCTATACATCGCCGTTATCTTTTTCAAGAAAAGATGTTTCTGAACGTGTAAACAGACAATGCAGGTGCTTCCACATACAGTAAACAAAGCAATGGTACTTTCGTTTGTACAACCAGAATAATGTGCAAAGAAAACTCAACGATCAAGGACATTCCGCTGTGCATCCGAACCAAAAGAAACTCCTTCACTAGTTTTAGACAGGCTGGCACGGTTATAATATTAACACGAATAGCACATTCCCCAACCGGTTCTCAAACGATGGGCTCTGCGTGTTTCGAAATTGTTGACATGCCCCAGAAGGATGTTAGTGTTTCTAAGAAAGAACTACAGTTTGTCCAAAGCCTCTGTGTCGCATCTGTGCATCATGGGGATTTAAAAAAGGGCACAAATACACATCCTCAGGCAGCTCCCACTAACACTTGAGATGCTTCTTGCTGGTCATGTCGTTCCAGATACGATGCATCTCCTCAGGGGAGATCTGGTGTACGGTAATGACTCGACGGTACCTGCAAAGACTGTAGGCCATTTTCCAGTGATTGAAGCCACTGTTCTGATACGGGTGAATGGCCAGCTTCCTCAAACACACCCCGACGTAAACGTCCTCCAGATGCAAGAGTCTGGTGTGCAAGGAAGTCTTGTAGATGAGCTCCGCAACGTCTGCCGAGAACACGTACCCAGTGCCGGAGCAAAACGGCGGGTACTTGCTCTCGGGGTAAAGGTCTTTGGGCATGTACCACTTGCTGCGCATGTCCCGAATGGGTCCGCCGTTGATGACGTATCCCGTGAAGTACCTCCGTCGAGGTTTGGTGGCCGGCTTCAAGAGTTTATACACCAAGTTGTCCATGTTCACGAAGATATCGCTGTCCGTTTTCATCACGTACTTGGCTTGGTTGCAGAAAGTGGCCACCCAGCGCATTCCCATCAGTGTTTTGAGAGTAAGATTGTGGTACGAGTCGATGAAGTCCTCGACCACGATGTCGTGAAAGATCTCGCTCTCTTGCTCCACCATCTGGTTGAGCACTGCGTCCATGCTGCGTCCCAGAAGAAAGAGCGTAATGATGCGAAGGTCGCTGAAGGTGCTTTCGTCGCCCCACGTTTCCCTGATGGCTTGGCGGGCGTCGAACTCTTTGTGCGTGGTCGTGATGAGGATGACGAGGAAGGGCACGTTGGTTTCGCATTTCTTGGGCTCGTTGATGATGAAATCGAAGGCGTGAGGGTTCAGCGGACGCGTCCGGATGTTGCCGAAGGTTGTGGTGGCGTTGCTCTTGTGCGCTTTCGCCGTTTTACGCGCCGGGACGGACAGTTGGCTCACATAGGACGACGTGGGACGGGATATACTTAGGTACCACAGAGCGCTGGCCCAGCAAACGACCGTCAACACATAGAGGCATGACACTTTTGAAGGCATTGTGATGCATTTACGTGCACTTGGAGCTGTAGATCTCGAACGGCCTCGCAGCCATTAGCGATGGTACCTCAGGCAGAAATGCAGAACGAAGCTGCATTTGTATGCAGCCTGACATCAACTGTCAGAGATGTCTTCTCTTCGTATGAAATCGGTGGGATTTTGTAGCAGGGTTTCGAATGCTCCCTGACACTCTTCCGCATGTTCCACTGAAATCTGAAAAACAAAACAGCAACAGTTGTTTTCAACTAGAGGCCAACTGACACGTGGGTTCCTCAACTGAAGGACCATATGATGTGAAAGATAGAATTTTTCATTTACATATATGCATTTGGCAGATGCTTTCAGCCAAAGCGACTTACAATGCATTCATTGCAATTTTTTTAATCAGTTTAGCTTTCACGGGGAACTGAACCCATGACTTTACTGTTGCAAGCACCATGCTCTACTGTATGAGCTACAATATGGTTTAATGACAACAAATCAAATATGCACAGAAATATGCTATTAACCCTTATTTTAGATGATATCTATTCAAATTTACAAAACTGTAGGACTGAAGAAATTTACAATGTGGATCAACTTTAGTTAGCTCCTTGTGCCTGATGAAGACCTGACTGGTCGAAACGTTCTTGGAAAATAAATGTTCTTGGAGCTATAATTTTCTGTGTGTGGACTATTGATTGATTGTCCTGAACTTGAACCAAATTTTTGGGTCTTTTGGATGTGTGCAGATTTTTGCATTGCTTTGATATTGGTGAAATGCAATAATATCAAAAGAGCTAAATCAATCAAATCAAAAGATGATTGCATCCTGATCTATCACTATTTTAAACAAGATAGATGTTTAGACGTTTCTTTGACATAGTCACCATTGATAAGCTACTACTAAATATAATGTAGAAACATTAAAATGGAAACTTACATTTTCTGTAAAACTGCTTTGCAATGAGTTGTATTGTGAAAAGCACTATACAAATAAACTTGAAAAAGATGTTTAGCCATTTCAACACTTTATATTGTCATATACTGGCTTTTGGATTATGGCAGAAAAATACTTCCTGTGACGAAGTTTTTGATTCTTACACGTTTTGTTCAAGATAATCTTCACAAATAAACACTTATTAATTTTAAGCCTAAATACAATTATCGGAAGTAAAAAGCTATATTTAAAGAACTACACCAGTTGCGCAGCTTGAAGATCAAGTTTCCCAACAACTCTTTCTTTACTTCAGGCAATAAGATAAAACATTTTTGACTAACAGATATAGCTATATCACTCTACCTATCTGATTAATCACAGTGCATTATGACAACTGTTTTGTATTACAAGTTTTCAGAAATGTTGTTTAACTATGCAAGTGATGCATTTTCTAATCTAATTTGCATCTCCAGAAAATAAATCTGAGCATTGGATAAAGTCAGGTTCAGAATTCTTGTTTCATTTTGTTGACATATTAGAGCTAAAGGTTTATACACAGATTAAGGATTTCTCTTTTATCACTCCATAAATTAGAGAATAGTCAGCAGTCAGAAAAAAATAACGTTTAATGAATAAAACGCTATAAAAAATAATATACAAGTTAGTGAATGATATAAAAACAAACTGCTTTGTTTTAAGAAAAAAGATGAATACAACTGTAAAGTTTGGTGCATGACATGTAAGTGAAAAAAAAAAATAAAAGTAACACTTAAATGTGTATTTTGAATGCTTTCTTTCATCTAGTCTGAAAGAAGACAAGTTATAAAAGCACAGTAGCCCAAGATCTCTAAATAGACCAGTGCATGAAACAACAATGGTATTGCCTGTTGTTTTTTTAAATCAACAAGTTGGAAAATTTGAGATGAAATAGTTTGCAAAAGTTTGAATAAAATATGACCAGGCAACCTGAATTGCAAGAGACATGGACTATTTATACTTGTTTTGTTTTTTTTCAGAAACTTGACAGCAGTGAAGATTCTGTCATTATTTATTCACCCTGAGGTCATTCCAAACCCACTTCAAGTTGTAAATAAAGTAAATAAAAGATAGAATTTTCACTTTTGCCTGAACTATCCCTTTAAGAGAAGAAAGGATGCAACCAAACGTGAGGAACATTGGTTACTTTAGTAAATACAGAACATCCCTCCTGCTGGAACACAGGAGCAAAACTACCCCCACCCCCCGCCTACCTAAATATTTGAATAGACAGTTAGCCAAATATTATGATTCTTATCGACTGACATTGCAGGAGATTGTTAATGTTTGAATGAATTAAAGAATATGAGGTGGAGAATGTGCATGTGTTTGAAAGCAGCAGTCATCTGTTGTGTTGCCTGTATGGAAATGAGAGCGCTGTGTGATTCCTGCTCTGAAGTTTTCAGCCGTTTAGACTTTTGATAAGAGAGCTGTGTCGGCATATAGCGGCTTTCTGGCTGAATCTTCTTCTCAGTGGGGAAGATCATCAATCAGCACATTTATGGAAGTGAAATAAATATAACAGGGACATTTTACAAAGAAATAATTTATTGTAATATAATCCAAACAAAATTGAACTGGCTGAACTATTCGCTTCTTTATGCGTAGCTGTTCTTTGCCATCTACTGAAAGTGTGACCGGGCAAATAAATATCTTGATGTGCAAAGCACATGCAAATTTACTAAAAATAAATATAAAGTGAAATTTTTTTTAAAGTAATATAAAATTTTGGAAAAAAAAAAAAGGTAAATATATGAGGGGCCGTACAAGCCATAATTCATTCTGGCACTCTCACACACACATACATTCTCCTTTCACATGCATACATTTCTACTCACACACACACATACTTTCTCCTTTCACATACATATATTTTTGCTTTCACACAATTACATTCTCCTTTCACATGCATACATTTCTACTCTCACACACTTACATTCTCTTTTCACATGCATACATTTCTACTCTCTCACATACTTACATTCTCCTTTCACATGCATACATTTCTACTCTCACACACTTACATTCTCCTTTCACATACATATATTTTTGCTTTCACACACTTACATTCTCCTTTCACATGCATACATTTCTACTCACACACACACTTACATTCTCCTTTCACATGCATACATTTCTACTCACACACACACACATACATACTCCTTTCACATACATATATATATATATATATATATATATATAGAATGTATGTATGTCTGAAGAAAATATGTGTATGTAAGAGAAGAATGTATGTATGTGTGAGAGAGAGTATAGTAGAAACGGAAGGAGTATAGTGGAAACGGAAGGAGTATAATGGAAACGGAAGGAGTATAGTGGAAACGGAAGGCGTATAATGGAAACGGAAGGCGTATAATGGAAACGGAAGGAGTATAGTGGAAACGGAAGGAGTATAATGGAAACGGAAGGAGTATAGTGGAAACGGAAGGCGTATAGTGGAAATGGAAGGAGTATAGTGGAAACGGAAGGAGTATAGCGGAAACGGAAGGAGTATAGCGGAAACGGATGGAGTATAATGGAAACGGAAGGAGTATAGTGGAAACGGAAGGAGG